CTGACAAACTTCCCCCAACTTTCAAAAACGAAGCAACGTCACTGGAATGAGTCATTTTTCAACCATTCCAGGACTAGAATTCTGAAATCTACCAGTCCCTCACTGAAATCAATTGACCATGCCTCAGTAAACATAGGCAAATATCAGTGGCGATCTAGAGTTCTTGAAAAGAGTAGCTATAAGGGGGACGGTATGGTGTCTAAGTTGGGGACCAGGGGGTGAAAGCCTGGAGGCTCTTAGGCTTAAGTTTTTAACGTTTCAACTTATTTCAGTTATACTTTATGTGAAACTAATGCAATGTCCTACAAAGTTAAACCAATTGATTAATTTCATGCATATTTTGGTCATTAAAGATGGGAGGGCGAGATTCCCCTCTCTCCCCACCCATCCACCAGTGCACGTATGAAATACGATGTGTTTACACTTTTTTTAAAGGAGGGTTAAAGACTGATAAAAAACTTAGGACAGTGTTTTGTAGTTAGATCAGAAGTTTAGGACTTTTCAAAATAATTCAAAATAAAAATGAAAATATTGCTGCATGACACATACTATTTGATTTGCGATAATTATGAGATTTAACGGCCATTGAATTTCGACGTTAAAAAAAAACAATCGTCAATAAAGATTCCACGGGAACATGATCCTATTTATAAATTTAACCTGATATTTAATTAAGGATTAATTAAGTCTTGTGTATAATTTAATATTTGATATGTTTAATTTAAATCATTTGCATGTTTAACATATGTTCATGTAATATTAAAAACACAAAACGAAATTGTTAAAGAAAAATATTCTAAGATATACTGACAAGAGGCTAAGCATTTTAGATACAATGTAAAGATACAATGGCATAACATAATAATGATTTGTCAAAAAGTAAGGGAAATTGACATCATGTAATAGATTCCCGTCGTCATGTAGCATACTGATGACACAATATAGTAAAGAATTGGCCACATTTGACAATTTTTTCACATCATGTAATGAAATTCTGACACCGTGTTATTGCGACTTGATATTGAATTAAAGATAAATTCACATCATGTAATGAACTACTTAGACCAAATAGTAGAGAGTGCACATAATGTAATAATGAGTTGAAATTATATAAAAACATTTTTACACCACATAAAATTGTTTTGACTTAATGTCATAAAGAGCTGATATAATGTAATGGAAGATTGGCGCAATGTAATTGAAGTGCGATTTAATGCCATAAAAACTTAACATAATGTAATGGAAAGTTGACGCAACGCAACAGTAGTGTGTGTAAATGTCATAAAGAGTTGACATAATGTAATGGAAGGTTGACACAACGCAATAGTGGTGTGGGTTAATGTCATAAAGAGTTGACATAGTATAATAGAAGGTTGACACAACGCAATAGTAGTGTGGGATAATGTCTTAAAGAGTTAACATAATATAATGGAAGGTTCACACAATGCAATAGTATTGTGAGTAAATGTCATAAAGAGTTGATATAAAGTATTTGGAAGGTTGACACAATGCAGTAGTAGTGTGGGTTAATGTCATAAAGAGTTGACATAATATAATGGAAGGTTGACACAACGCAATAGTAGTGTGGGTTAATGTCATAAAGAGTTGACATAATATAATAGAAGGTTGACACAACGCAATAGCAGTGTGAGTTAATGTCATAAAGAGTTGACATAATGTAATTAATGGAAGGTTGACACAATGTAATAGTAGTGTGAGTAAATGTCATATAGAGTTGACATTATGTAATGGAAGGTTGACGCAATGTTATTGTTGTGTTCTGCTATAAGGCAGTGACGGCGTTCCATAGAAAACTCTTAGAACAAGTTGTAAAACGGTGAAATCATGACCCCTAATCAAGATAGTCTCTGAAAAGTCCGGGTGCACGGAACAAGTAAGGTATTTCTATAGATGTTGTCATGTGTAATTTGCAGAATAGCCCTCTAATAATTTAGAATTAGTAAAATTTCCGAAGCCTATACCAAATCTTAAGTCAATAAATACCCAGTTTTCATGATTTTTTAAATCATCCATTATTCAGATTGTGGGAATTTTGGTATTTGAAGATGCGTCATTCTATTATAATTCTTAGAAATAATTTTAACAAATTGAAAAGTGTATTTTAAAAGAGATTTTTGGATAAAACACGATTTTTTAAAGTTACGGTTGCTATCAGAGTCTTAGCATATATTGCACCGGTTAATAACTGAAAACATCGCATCGGCTGCTATTTGAAAATTTTCCTTATTAACATAGATATGAAACAAACATATGGCAGCAAATGTCTAAAATATACTTTTTAAATAACTCAAATTGCATGTGAAATAAGATGTCTATATATGCAGTTGACTTTTACCAACTTAACTCAGGGGTGTAACTTCGATTTTGAAAAGGCGGGGGGGGGGGCAGAAAAATTCAAATTAATTTTTTAAAAAGCTGACATGGAAAAAAAGGAAAATTGTCAAACTTCTTTAAGTACCTTTTTTTCTCACGCGCCACCGCCTAACCTTCTTTGACTATACTGCAATAAAAAAAAATGGACGGGGGGGGGGGGGCTTCAATGAAAATTTTCGATATAGTAAAAGTTATGCTTGGAAGAAAGTCAACAGGCCTTTCAATTAACATTTCAGAAGGTAAAGGTACCTGTTATGCTTGGAACAAAATGTGGAGAGGGCGCATCTGTAACTCGAATGTATCGTATTTTTGCAAAGTAGAGCTGATCTTCGAAAAACATTGCTACACAAATCAAAAAGAAAGCTTTAGGCAAGGACCCGTAAATCAATTTGAAATAGCATACATGTATAATATATTTTTGCAAGCAATTAAAATCATTTTTTTAAAACCTTTAAGATTACGTTAGAGTCTTTGGGGATTTGTGTAGCCTACATGAACACTTAAACATGTATAATGTACAGAAAAGTTAAAGTACGTAAGCCTTGTCAAATACATGTATTTCTAAATCCATATTTTTTTTTTTGAAGTACGGTTATGCATTGGTTCGTTGTACGACTAACATGTAATATTCAAAACATCGACCCCCCCCCCCCGATCGTCCAATTAGGGATTTAAAGAGTTCTTTAAATCATATAGATAAGAAAGAAACAAGCTCCCCCCACCCCACTTTTTTCGCCAACCTCACTTCACTACAGAGAATGTCCATTGAAAAGATGGTTCCCCCCACTTTTTACCACAGTACATTTATAGCAAGGAAAGATGGGAAAAATTGGAATTGAAAGGAAGCTGGCCTTGAAAAAAGTTGCCCCCCCCCCCCCCCCCCACCGAAATAGGATTTTTCCTTTTTATTTCCTTTTTTTTATTTTTGCTAATTTTTTGGGGGGTAAGTATTAAAAATTTCTCAGGTTGCCCCCCCCCCCCTTTCAAAAACGATGCTACGTGCCTGAGAAAGCGTGGTTTTTATATTGATGTTTTCCACTTCTTTATACTGTCAAATTTCTTGTAAATTGACTTAATATATTTTCATTAAATTTATAATTGTTGGACTCTGGAAGTCTTTAACAATACTACAGCAAAGATAATTTAAAAATAAAAATCACAGAAAATTCTATTCAAAGGGGGAAAGAGGAGCAGACCTACCCCTCCCACCTTTTACCTTCGACGTGCTTTACCCTATGTACATGTACAGTAATTAATTTTTTGTAAAATCAGATGTAGAGATTGCTAATTTGTAGGTTTATGTTTGGATTTGTAGAGGTATGTTGCGTAATTTGAGATAAATAATCTCTCGTGGTTTGTGAATCGATAATTAAAAACGATATTTTAAAATTCCAAATCGTAAATTTAATCAATCTGGCATAATAATATAGCTGGAATATAATAAATTGAATGGTCACATGATTTAATGGCTAAGACAAAACAGTTGTGTGTGTGTGTGCATGTGCCATAGGCGTCGGAAGCAAATTGAAAGTGGGGGGGGGGAGGGCTACACCAATAAAAAAAAAGATTTGCCCAAGTTTTCAGAGCCTATATTATGTCGACATGAATCTTTGCAAAAAAGTGGGAAGGCTTAGCCCCCCCCCCCCTCCGTTCTAAAGCCTATGTGTACAGGGTACATGTACATACAAACTCCAACTATTTGCATGCATCATTCATATAAATATACGATTAATTTGTCATTATATGATCTAAAGTAACACACACGACAAGTCAATCACTTATATAGTTTTCTTAACTATAATTGCATAACATATGTAAATTGATGTGATTTCATGAAATTTGAAAACTTAAACCTATTCCGATAGTAACCGGTGCCGTTGTCTAATAGTAGCCGTAACACAAGATTCTACTGATAAAAACGCTCTAGCTTTTTAAAAACCCACCAAAGTGGACAATGATATAAAATAAACAATAATATTTACAAATACAAAACGAACTGTCGATTCATTTTTATCGAATATCTAAAACTATTGACGCAATTTTAGTATATTTCTTACGTGCATGTAAATTTGTCCAACGCTTTCGACAGTTTTTGTCTTAAATATCAGCAATTCTTTAATTCACTAAAATTCTAAATATACATGTTAGTTTCAAAATGTATATAATGTTCCGTAAGGGTGAATTACCAAGCGGCTAAACTTTAATAATTGAACTATTGACCATTTTGTTGAGCCAGCGAAGAAAATTACTTACAATTTCGTACATTTTTTTCCACTAGCAACCGCTTAATTTTCAGATAGCAGTAATGGACGCGCATTTTTTCTGATAGCAACCGTTTAGGTACTACACCGTGTTTCTGCAGCCATCCTTATTAATCTATATAAATATATTTTTCACTTCAAATTCCATTTTTGTGTAAAGAATGAAAAATTAAACGCGGTTGAACTTGTTCATTTTACTCACTGAAACATGACTCAGGTTGTTTTTTATGACAAAAGTTTGGTTGTCTTTTTTTTTTTTTTAGATATATAACGTATCGATGTATCTATTTATTTATTTGTTTGTTTTTTCATCGTCCAGTGTTTTAAAATCGGGATCGTCATTCCCAAAATATAACAGTTTTGCACACGACACTAACAGTCGTCGCCAAGATAAAAATATTTCGCCGGTGTGTTTCATTAACTTCAAGCCATGTCAGCTCCATTAAAGGCCGTGTGTGTTTTGAAAGGCGATAGCAGTGTCACGGGAACCGTCCATTTCAACCAGGAGGTGATTAGATTTGTAACTTTGATAACAGCAATGCACGCAATATGAAATACAGTATCTAGAACGTCCGAGTTTGCACAAATGTTGCACACGGAATAGTCAGGATTTCCTCTGAATCACCACATTCAGTCATACATAGAACTTTTTTCTGCTTCTTCTTCTTCAAAATACAGCAGGTCACTGAAAATGCACCGTAAACGTGTAAAGTGATAAAGCATTAGAAAAAGGATTTTTCTGAAGTAAAATAGATTTATAAGAGAATTAAAACTACTAAAAACTAGATATTAGGCCAAAAGAAAATATACTCTTGTTTCCTGTTCCCTGACAAAAAAAATAAGGTAGGTAGGTCGGAAAAAAATTTTATTTTGAAAATTTTTTTTTTTTCAAAACTCAATGAATGCAGAACATATAGCATGTAATAACAAGAAAATGATATGTTAACAGTTTACAGAGCAAGTTTGTTAATCAAGATTTATAAAATAAAGGTATCCTGTACACTTGTGATGTATTAGTTCTGTAAACAATGGTAAATATTGTTGGTCGACTTAAGTATCTTAGAAAAATAGGTACCCAAAAAATGAAAATGTAATAAAAACTTTTAGGATCGGACGGTAAAATGTAGGGTAGGTCGGGTGACAGGAAACAAGAGTATTTTTTATTTTGGCCTTAGCTAGAAATACATTTGGGGTTTTCCAGTAAAAGAATAAAATTTTGTTAATTTATTCTTGGCAAGCTGTTTGTCACTGTGAGCTTTTAAATTAATTCCTGGGCAGTAACCTCTGGACTGCTGGACAGGTCCAGTCCAAAGACTATCTCTACCTACGTAGCTAATAATAGCTACCTAGGTCCAAAGTAGCTATTTTTACCTACTTTTTATAATTTCTGCATTTTGCGGCACAAAGACCAAACGGCGCAACATGGTGAATACCATATCTTTTGATACAGTCACACTAATGATGAATACAACAAAATTTTGGCCAAAAATGATGACTTCCTGAATCGGCAATTTTACATTAGTTTCTATGCAAAATCGTTAATATACAAAGTAATAATTTTTTGGCCTAATATTTGTCATATCCATCTTCAGTATGACTGTATCAAGAAATTTTGTGCTCACCATGTTGCGCCGTTCCTGCATTTGGCCACAAAATGCAAGTAAAGCAGAAAGTAGGTAAAAATAGCTACTTTGGGTAGCTTTAAATACCTAGGTAGCTATTAATAGCTACGTAGGTAGAAATAGTCTTTGGACTGGACCTGCTGGACCTGCAATCCTTCACAGTTACATGTCATTGCAAACTGTTTAGTTTGGTAATGCAACTGACATGTGACATCAGAGTTTAGACGTACCAAATGTTATATAGTTGAAAGAGACAGATGTAAATTAAAGTGCTCACCAGGGGCTGACAAATAGATTTTTAAGGCACTTGCCCAAGGGCATGTACATGGTCAAAATCACTTGCCCTACCTGAATTTTTGCCTGCCCTACCATTAACTTATACTGTATTTATCGATATATATAAAAAATACTGAGTAGAATATTGGCATAGATATTGATTTTATTTTTGATAATTGATTAAGTCACTTGCCCACGGGCAAGTGGTTGATAAAATTTCACTTGCCCAACCCTAAAAATCACTAGCCCCGGGCGTCGGGCAATGGGATTTGTCATCCCCTGCTCACCTTAATGGCCCACTAGCTGTCATTAATTTTTTGCACAAATCGCAAATTCTATATCCAAATAAAAATGTACAAGTCTAAGATGTGGACTACAGGATTAACGCTAATGTTACCCCATGTAAAGCACTGCAATCTCCCATGCAGAGTTGTCATTTTTCCTCTCTCAGACACCTCTGCAGTGGACTCATGTCAAGATTTTTTACATAACATATAAAAAATGATAATTACAGGATTGCTCCAAATTGATAGTTCTGGATTGATGCAGTAAATACATGTATCTCAAAACTCAGACATGAACATAGAAATTTAATTATAATGAGTTAAACCAAACACCATTTCTTGTGTTTACATGTATCATTGTGATATATGCTAGCCAATGACAGCGGTGAATGTATGAACCGATGGTAGAGAGTGGTAAATTTACTTGATAAATATACAGATTTTATTTCTTACCCATTAGTGTATTGAGCTTGCTTTGTGAGCCACTTTCTATAACTGGTATTTTTACTTTACTTTAGGCACCGGGTTCCCCTGTGACTGTTTCTGGTGAAATCAGTGGTTTGACTCCAGGACAGCATGGATTTCATGTTCATCAATTTGGGGACAACACAAATGGTAATTATTTTTTCTTTTTTTTTCCATCATTTTTAAAACATTTTATCATTTTAAATTTGTGCTGCATACAGTCCAGGGAATAAGCGATACACTTGTATTACATACATTTACTACTAAAAACATGATTCCTTTGAAATTTTATCAAAGTGCTTTTCCTCTTACAGTTTTTTTTAAAACATGGTGCAGGAAAAGACTGCACCAAGAAACATTAATCTCTAAATGAAGTTTTCATTTCAGTTGCTTTTTTTCTGAAAATAAAAATTTATTTGTAAAACCTTTTGGTGGAGTAAGAATATGTTTTATTTAAAAAAAACAAAAAAAAAACGTGCAAGAATGTTAGACAATCAATTTTGCCTGAACTTTGTAGTGTTTCACTCTGATGTAATTTTTCATTTAAAAAAGGTTTGGTTACATTTTCATTTTTCAATAATATATTGACTTAAAGTGTTCCTATATTCTCCTTCAAAGAGGATCAAATTATTCTTTTAAAGATCAATTTGCCCTAAGAAATGATGTACAGTATTACTTTCATTGTAGGCTGTACCAGTGCTGGAGCACACTTTAACCCCTTCAGTAAAGACCACGCTGGCCCAGACGACGCAGACAGACACGTAGGGGACCTGGGTAACGTCACCGCCGGCGAGGACGGAGTCGCCAAAATTAACATCTCAGATAAAGTGATTGATTTAGCTGGTCCCCATTCCATCATTGGGAGAACAATGGTGGTAAGTTCTGATGTTAACATTTAGCTGGTACTCAGTCCCCAAGTGGGCAAACTATATTCAGGGTTGCAATCAAGATTATACTATAGATGGTAGGGCTGGGACGATACCGAACTTAGCCGATCCGATACATATCACGATACCTTAGGTGCGATATGATACATATCACGATACATTTAAAACCAAAAAAAAACTAAATATTTTTTTAGAACATTTAATTTGGAACATTACAGATTATAAAAAATAAACTAATTCAACAGAAACCCGACTTACTGCCATTGGTTTTTGTTGATTTAACATAATCCGGCGTGTCTGATGCCATTCTGATGCTTGTATTTTGAATTCTGTATCACCAAGACATTTGTACTTTATTTCTGATTGTTTAAACGTCTTGATGATACAGACTAAAGGACATAAAATTTCGAATTCTAAAGCCCGGACATTTTTGGAAATTAAAAAAAAAAGTGCGGTCAGGTATCGTAATACTAAATTTATTTAGATGAATCGATTAATATATCGTCAAAGTGAATACTGTGATGCATCGGTGCACCGGTGGATCGTCCCAGCCCTAATAGATGGTATGTAGCTTTTAATAACCCCTATGATCTTGAACAATATGCTAGCCTTGAAATCTAAGCTATCTGCTCTAATCTTGAATGCTGCCCTGATGTTCTGATGTAGTTGGATCTCATTCCACCATGTTTGTCTTGTTTGAGGGAGCAGGGTTTATCTGCAGCATGGCCATCTCTACCTAGAGTTATCTTCCTTTTACTTCTATACAGCTTTGCTAAGAACTCTCACTTTCTAATTGTTATCAGATTTGAATAAGAGAATATCAGAGCACACAATAATATAGAGTGCATACCGTATATACTCGCCTATAAGTCAGTTTTTTGGGAGTTAAACTGTAGTCCCAAACTCTATCTTCGACTTATAGGCGAGTCACAAAGATATTGTTATTTTTCTGGAACGTGAAATGTAGCATTTCTTACATATTTCCGAGGATTACTGAAGAACAAAGCATATATATTTTAAATCGTTAATGCATTCAAAAATTTTACATATAGTACAAGTATTAAATTATTTTAATAGTTTTATTTTTATCTTAAGTGAACATTACTTATGTTTAATGATTTAAAATTAAATATGAGCATTATTTGGAAAAATATTAATAAAGACAGCTAAAACATCAGTGCATCGATTTAAAATTTCAAATGATTATGGCAAAAAGTTGTACCGACTTATAAGCGGGTCAATGGCAAAGCCCTCCAAATCAACCTCAGTAAATAGAACCGACTTATAGGCGAGTATATACGGAAGTTTCTATGAAATGTAAATTCTTTGATGTTTTCCACAAATCAAGTCATTTTTCAAGTCGACATAACATAAGTATGTTATGTTTTTTCTCTTCAATAGATCCATGCAGACGTAGATGACCTAGGGAGAGGAGGTCATGAACTCAGTAAGACAACCGGTAATGCTGGTGGGCGGCTGGCCTGCGGAGTTATTGGAATCACCAAGTAGACCCCCCTCCCAGACTCTCAGCTTTCTGCAATGTGCGGGACTGCATTGTTATGTCTTGTAATGAGTGTCAGCGATTTTTGTAAAATAATCATTTGTAGCCATTAATCTTGATTGCGTTGTATGTGTTGGTGCAAGTAATGCAGACAAATATTCCTCTTATGATGCGTTATGACACAGACTAATAATAAGAGATCAATTTAAGAAGTACATGTTATGTTGTTATTTTGCTATTAATAATGATTAAAGTTTATACAAAGAAAAAATTATAAAACTTTGTTGTCATTAGACATGTAATAAATATGTATCAAAACAACAATATTGAAGTTGTTAATTACATGTACAGTGAAACTTGTCAGCTGATCTGGACACTATTGGTTCCCAAATAAATTGCCTGGATTAACCATGTTACAGTTAGGCAAAATTCCCAATTATAACAATTTTTTTTTTAAATAAATAAATTTATCAAAAGAGAGGAAAGTTTATATCATTATGCAAGAGTTTGGAATATACAAGATCAGTATTAGGCAAGTTTCAGTATTTATATATTATTAGATTTCATCAGAAACACTACTGTGTATAATATGGAACATTATACATCAAGGAGATGGCTTTGTTTACTCAAGTCTATAAAAGTGCAAGTTGGTGTATTGGTTTCATTAAATCTGTGATGTGCAAATCCATAAAGTTGTTCATTTCTAGAAAATGGACGTATTTACTAAGTTTATTAGACCTTTGCAACAGAGGATGTAGTAAGATGTAGGGAGTGTTAGTTGTTCTTTATACGAAACTGAAGTATTTTGTATCGTGATCAGTATCGAATGCTGCCTTGGTTTGCAAGGGGCTGCTCCACTTTACGGGGCTCCTATTTAATTTTCATTTGTGGAAGTATGTTTGAAAAGTATGAAAAAAGACCAGAAGTTTCATTATTTTTTTCATTGACTGGCACATGCATTGACTTCAGTCTTTCTTGTCTACTTGTACTGAGGAGATACTGATAGTTAATCCTGTGTATTTGTCCATTTTCACATCCCACCCACAAGTAACCAATGGTATCTATAGCAATAGCAGTAGGCTGACGTAATCCATCCTCTTCAGTCATCAGAAGTTTCTGGAAAGTCAAGGATTTGTCCAACAGATATATAGCATTGTCGTTATAGACAGCTACTAATACATTGTTTTGACTATCTAGTGTCAAGTCTGTTGGTCGAAATCTTAATTCCGGGGAGCTTCCAACTGATCCACGATATTTTTTATAATACCTTATCATTGGAGATTGTCTTATTAAATCAATCCTTTCAACCTGAGGATGAGAACCGGATGAAATAAGAAGAAAGAATCCATCATAGTACATTATTCTTATACAGTAAGAGGTGGACGTTTCAATTTTCTTCAGAATCACTCCGTCATCATTCAATAAATTTACATGACTAGCTATAGAATTGATATAACTTGAATGTATAACTACACAAGCGTAAGCTTCTTTCCCTCCAGCAGTCAGACAACAGAAGTAATCTTTTGTTTGGTCAGTATTAATGAACTTTGTAATCACCTTACTTTTTAATGTTGAAATACGTCTTATTTCCTTTTGGTCTTCCATTATCGCAAGAATATCTCCAGAAGCAGGTATATGAGCAATCTGATGAACACATTCCAAAATCGTAGACTTACAAAATTTTTCTCCGTCGATGTTACAACGATAGACCGTGTTGGAGATTTGCAGAACAACGCTGGTACTGTCTATGGGTATGATGCCTTGTATAGATGCTTCGCCAGCTTGATAGGTCCTTGGTAATTCTATACAGTCATGGAATTTTTCCTCTTCTTCTACAAGCTCTTCTTTCTGTTCATTTTCTCCATTTTGACTAAGCGAAATTGCATCTGATGAGGTTTCAACCTCTGAAATGTTTCCGAACACATCAGTTGAATCACCATTTAGAGTTCCCTTTTCAAAGTGGCAAGTAGATCCAACATCTGATAAATATGCTTTATCGCTCAGAAAACGTTTTGTTTTGCAATTCAAGTACGTGATCTCCAATTTCCTCTCCTCGGAATCGAACTGGAAGCCTTCTTTGAGATGCAGTAAAGCATGAATTAAGGACTGTTCTTTCCTCAAAGAATTCTCATAAGTGTCTCTGAACGTCATAACTCTCCCCACCATCTTCTCCCTCCATTGTCTCGCCATTTCACAAATTTCCTCCTCTCTGTTAATAACACTGCGAAGGAGATTTTCTGTGTGAACAGCAAGACACTTCTGTTTCTCTTTACTATCAGCAAGGATTTTCCCTAGAAACGGAGTTGTCTTTTCGGTGTTTAAAACTTCCTGTAATTCACGCTGATGGAGATCTACCACTTCTGACTGAGATCCCACATAGTTGATGTTCAGCGTGTTGACTGAGAGTTACACAATCACTGCATAAAGGCTGGTCACAGGACCTACAAAAAAGGGGAAGCAGGTCTGAGTTCCTTACAGTTTACATCACATCTCGGTTTTATTAGTTCGCCGCGAACTGGTATCTGCACATCGGCCATTTTTCTCCACACAGTCTAGATTGAACACACACTTGCACCCTTTTCTTCCCCTTTTAATTATTTTACTTGTAGTGATCAATTATATTTGTTCAGATCTGCACTGCACACAAAAATCGATATTTAAACTTCATTCATATTTTTTTTTTATTCTTGTGTGTATTTATAGCTGACCTTTTGTTGTTTGTCTTCAAAAACTTCACATTTTGAAGTTCTTATGTTGTGTCTTTGGGTAAATTTAAAACCAACGTGCATTCTTTTTCAAAATGGATTTATAGTTATTCAATTAATGAAGATAAAAAACTTTTTCGTTACGAGAGACTCAGACAATAAAGGAGGTCTGATGGCACATTTAACTATAAAGTATTTGTTCAGCATCATCAGTAAATTTTTTTTTGAATGGGGCTAAATGTGATAAAAGTCAATCTTGGCCCCCTTAAAATCAACATTTTAGAATGATATCCAAATAGTAAATATGTATGATTTATTTTTATATTGTAGAAGAGATTAATTTGAAAATATTTCCAATACATTGTTTACATTTATATGTACTATCAGGCTATAAATTACATCAGAAATGATGCTATTTTTGCAATTTATCCAAGCAACACCCTTGTCAACGCGCGATCGGCAACGCGGATGCGATCGGCAACGCAGATCAAAACATTGAAGAAGAAAGTATTGTAGGGGGTAAGTTTAAATAGTTTTGTATGTGCTGGAGTGTAACCCAGGTAGCACAAAACATTTTCACAACATTTTATTTGTGTTGTAAAAAGGTTTTTTAAAAACATTTCAGTCTAAACATTTTAAAGATATTTTTAAAACATTTCCTCTTCCCGTTATAACATTCTTAAAACATTTTAAAAATGTTTTCAAGAAGCTTATGATAAAATCCTTTTGGAACATTTTCCTGTAATGTTTTTGAAACGTTTTAAAAATGATTCAAAGGTATGTTGAGCTTTCAAATATTAAAGATTTTTATGTTGCGTTTTAAAAACGTTCTTAAAACATTAAATGAGACGTTTCTTTTCCATAAATCTGAAACATTGCATGAATACGTTTCTAAAACATTTGGATGGAACATAGTCAAAATGTTTTTAAAACATTCGTAATATTGTTTAAGGAACACTTTTCTTGAATGTTTTTAAAGCGTTTTAAGAATGATTCAAAAAGTATGTATATCTTTTAAATATTAAAGATTTTATCTAACGTTTTAAAAACATTCTTAAAACATGAAATGAAACATAATATTTCTGTAAATTGGAAACATTGCATATTACGTTTCTGAAACATTTGGAAGAAACATTTTAAAAATACTTTTAAAACATTCTTAATATCGCTGTTAGTTCAACGTTCAAGTCCGGGCATTTTAGGCAGTGAAAATGTTTTTTTTAGATTACTAAATAAAATAATCCTTTTTAACAACAACTAAAACATTTTACGTAATTATAGTTTTTTTCAACATTTTTTGGAAACATTTTCAAAATGTTTCTAAAACGTTTATATAATTCATTTAATAATTTAAGGAGTATTTTGTAAGAAGGTTTTTAGAACATTCAATTAAATGTGTTTTCTTTTTTAAAGACTTCATTTTCATTGCTACAACATTTTGTAATGTTACTTTTAAAATGTTTTTTAAAAAATTCAAATAATGTATGATTGCGATTTTCCTAAAATTGAGTTTGTAAAAAAAAATATATATATATATATATATATATAGAGAGAGAGAGAGAGAGAGAGAGAGAGAGAGAGAGAGAGAGAGAGAGAGAGAGAGAGAGAGAGAGAATAAGTTGAAATGAGGAATTGTAATTTTTTAATTGAAAGATTTTTTCCGGTATAGTTTATAATATTTTCTATTTTTGGCTTATTGATTTAAAAAAAAATATGTATAAAGTTTTTGATTAAATTAACAATTTAAAATCCGTTAAAAAAGTCAATAAATGAAAGGATAGGCAACAAATTTAAATATAAATAAATGAATTTTAAAAATCTTCATGTCTTTTTTTTCTTAAAACTGTTCTTCGTCAAATTTGTGATCCACTCCCAGAATTTAACTCTGAGGCATTAGATAGGGATTGGCACACTGGTCAGCTTCAGTGTCATGATAACCTTGTTATGCAATTTTCCTGCTGGGCAGCGCGTTACAGTGTATAGTGGTTTGCAGCTTATTTAGGCCAAATTTTGAATTCTGGTAAACAAGATGTGCGCGCTTACTCCTCGCCGATTTGAATGAGAAGACTTTGCATCGTATAAACCACAAAAATAACCTCGGGATTTATTAACTCTGAATGGTAAGAATTATTCTTTTATCAAACACTTTAAAAGATAATTTAAAAAGACTTTTATTCTACTAGTGCATGATCGATGATTATATACCATGTATACATGTACAGATGTATGTTAGAAAAACAAAGCGTTAAGGTTATACATGTATTTGAATTGAATATTACATACTTAAGGCAATAACATTATATCCTTGATTCAAATACTAGTATTTGTTGTATTTCTGAAATGTTAATCATCAAGCAATATGTTTATTTCAAAATGAAATTACTTTACAGCATGGTGTTAGTTCCATCATCCGTTTGAATTCCCACATTCAAAAGACCCGCCTTTGGTGAAGGCAAAGGTGTACGTAAATACTATTACTATTCAATAATATTATTGTCATAGTAAATATTTTTAAGCTTAATTTTTATTAATGCAAAAGTGGAAAGATCTTAAATTGTGATACATGTATGTATATAATTATTTAAAAATATTTTTTGTATATTTTCATTGATCATCTTA